AGCTGAGCTGCCGCTTCGCACTCTTATTTCCCGCGCGCACCTCACTATTCGCCAGGTCTTCCCTCCTTGCTGGGTATAGTTGCTGTGGCTGTATTATGGGTTTTTCAAATTTCGAACCCCAACGTCACCGGTTTTGTGGTTTTCGGGCGGAGTGGTACCAAACTTGGACGTGATGCAGATGACGAACCCGAACTGAAGGTAAAGGAGCTTTGGCCTGAATCTGACATTATCCTCAGCTGTTTTGTCTTGTTCTTTTCTCCAGATATTTCATTTTCACAAAAAATGGTACCACAAATACAGGGGGTAAATTTGCAAGATGGTTCGAACGTGTCCGAACTGTGGCAGTTCCGAGATCGACGATGATTCGGCCCGTGGCGATTCCACGTGTATGGGATGTGGCACGGTGCTGGAGGAGTCCACGATTGTCTCCGATGTGGCATTCCAGGAAAACTCGGCTGGCGGACATTCACTTGTTGGTATGCGCAGCTTTCTTCACACTAACATTGGATGTAATTACTGATAAATGTTAAGATAGATAAGAATTACGGTATATAATTCTGGTCAGTAAAATGGACAATATGCAACGTACACTCGGGACATCTCGAAATTTTTAAAGGTTTACCAAGTGTTTCTGTTGAAAGAACCATTGAACTGGTTAATCGCGCCAGAAAACGAAAATTACGTCAGGATGCTAGCCACAAGGCGATGTAGATAGTTCGTAAAGTCTCTCTACCCGACTGGTTGAAGACCGGTCGTTTTTATACATTTTTGCATATATGCAAATGCAAAAACGCATATTGGCAAGAGGCTGTTTGCGTGTGTGTTCGCATTTTTTGTCACCCATTTTCAACTCGAGAACCAAAAAAGCTAGAAAACTGAAGCTTCGGAAGTATGTGCCCAACACCTGTGTGGCCTTCCCATTTTAATTTCATCACTCGCATACGCCTGGATGCTGCATACGGACGCCTTAAAAAAAAATATGCAAATTTCAAAGAGCGATCGCTAAACGGGAATTATTCATTTCCCTTATGCAAAATTTGGAATGAACGCAAAAGGTAGGTGTAAAGCAACAATCATTCACGCAGTACCTGAGTTTTTCAAGTCCGGTGCAAAAACGCATGGTAGCAGCGGAAAGCCTGGTGCATTCCAGCCTGGGCCTAATTTTGCATATATGCCAAAACGTACCGTATATTAAAGTGGCTAGAATTGCGTCAAAATTAAATAAATTCCATTCGAAATGATCAGTGTTTTTTTCACAATGCCGCCCTTGCAGGTCAGTTTGTCTCGAAAGATCGTGCCCAGCCGACCACAGTTACCGGTGTTCCGGGTCTAACACATCGAGAATCCCGCGATGTCACATATTATAAAGGGAAAAAATTGATCGAAGAAGTATGTAACTTTGTTCGTTGTATGTTACTGTGCATGCGTTGATTTTGAAGGTTTCAGTCAGGGACTTGGCTAAGTCAAAAGCTCCTTTTTCGATTTAGAGGCTTCCGAGTTCCGGGTACTTTTGGACTTTTCCAAGGAATGCTGGATACGGTGGACTGTTTGGCTTAGTAGAACTGTGTGATTTCACCCTGTATTTTAATAGCGCAATAACATTACTGTTGTTTGCCTCGTCTCTGCTTGGAATTTAAGATGACGATGCTAACTTTACAGGAAAATCAGCTGTTAAGGCTTTCTTATAGTAAATAAAGCTTATTTCGAACACACACAAAAAGGGGGCTTGATAATATGCGTCTTGTGCAATTGTTGCAGCACAAAAGCATAAAAATCTGCCGGTTGCATGCCTCAACAAGAATTCCAAAATTGAAATTTTGCGAGAATGCTTTCTTTATCTGTGTGTCTTTGCTATGTTTGATTTTTCAGATATCCAGTCAACTGCGCATTAATCAGCGTTGTATGGATACGGCATTTAATTTTTTCAAAATGTGCGTTTCACGTAATTTTACACGTGGACGAGTGCGATCACACGTAGTGGCTGCTTGCTTATACATGACATGCCGTCTGGAGAATACCGCGCATCTGTTGCTCGATTTCAGCGATGTGACACAGGTTTGTGCGCCTTTCATTTAGGCCTTATTCCTGGCGATCTTGATGCGTGCCACTAATTGTCCACTTCTTTGGTCACTCCGTATGATTGTGCAAAAAAAAAAAACTGCGCGTTGATGCATAATGCACAAACATAAAAGAAGAAAGGGTAAAAAATTACTAACAGTTTTATAAATTGGTAAAAAATGTTTCGGTCCATTAAGTTGTATACATTTCTTACCGTTACTTATTGGCATATTTTTTGCTTGGGCGTACGAAACGTATGCGGTTTGAAGAACAAGAAGTTGAATTTCGAAAATTTATTACTGCGTAGGGTGATAAATAGCATTCATGCACCGGTGTCTGTACGAGAAGCGGCCGTATAACGAGCGATTTACCGCACAATCTCAGTTTAAGAAAAAAGGCCTGAAAAACAACGGATTGGAAATAAAAGTGATATTGACTGCCGGCCATTATGCTCACTACTAGAATGCTGATAGCCGGTACTAACTTGAAAGAAACTGACACTTGAATTCATTGGCCACAAATTGAACATACCCCATAATCCTTAGCCTGAAATCTAATGTTTGAAGGCTATCACCAATTAGCACAAATTACGTTGCCTCTTGTAAAATATGTGATTTTGCTTGCAGGTCAATGTCTTTGATTTGGGTCGTACGTTGACTTTTCTGACGCGATCGCTGAAGATTTTTCTTCCGACCACTGATCCCTGCATGTACATATTGCGATTTGCAGCTTTACTGGATTTTGGCGATAAAGAAAAGGAGGTGAGCGAATTTTGTGCGATATTTCGTTGGAATAATTTTGGGTCAGTTGCTTTCTTATTGTTGTATTCATCCTAGGCTTCTATAGAACTGAAAAGTCCTGCTCAGTTCCATATGATCTAGATCGCTGCGACCAATCAAGTCGCCCGGATGTGAGGTCCTCATGTAACAACTGATTGGACTGCTCGCACACATAAAGCGTGACTAAGCTGGGCCTTTCGATCCTGAGCTGTACATCTTCAGTTAGTGCCCGTTTTCTGTTGTTTGGCTTTTCTGACCGCTCCCTCGTTTCCTACTCATCCAGCCTGGTGGTGATTATGCTGCCGTTCCTCAATTTTTAGTCGTTACGGATACGGAATTTAGCAACCTCGTCCAAACATAGGGATTAGTCGAAAGTGTTTTTCTTTATCTCACGCAAATTCAGGTTGTGTCGTTAGCGACACGGCTAGTGCAGCGTATGAAGCGCGACTGGATAGCCACAGGACGACGGCCGACCGGTCTCTGTGGTGCAGCATTGCTGCTCGCAGCTCGATGCTTCAATTTCAATCGTACAGTAGCGGATGTTGTTCGCGTTGTACATGTCAGTGAAGCTGTGGTCCGGAAAAGGCTTGACGAATTCTCGCAAACACCGTCCAGCGCGTTGACCATTGACGAATTCGCCACTGTTGATTTGGTTCGTGCTCTGTTCTTTTTTTAAGCTTTTTTGCATTGCACTGTGTTGAAGTTTAAATTTTATGTCTCGAAACCGTCCAGTAAAATCT